AAAGCTAACCTGTTGCATGACAGACTAGGGAGCCAAAAAGATCTCAGGAAGTTAGAATGATGTGGCTGAATCTCTTAAGAAGAAATGTGATAGGGATAAATGTAAAGTCTAATGATTGGGTTCAACAAATCAACTGCACAAATATAGGATAGAGGGATATGGATAGGCAGTACGGTTTGGTGTTTTTTTTGACAATATGTCTTGTGAAAAGGGTCTGGGAATTTTCATGGATTGCAAACATAACATGAGTCAACAATATAATAAGGTAGTAAAAAAAAATACAAACTCAATCATAGAATATGTTAATAGAGATTAATGGTATACAAAACAATGGAGATAATAATTTCTCTCAGTCCTAGTCAGACTATATTTGGAGTTTTGTATTCGGTTCCAGAAATAATGTTTTGTGAAGGACATGGACAAACTTGGAGCCATGTCTATGCTAACATGGTAAGGGGACTGAAGAAGATGCCATATGAATATAACCAGCAGGTGGCACTGTCTAGCAAGGTTGGCTGAGGCACCTGCCATATTCTGTATGACATTTGAAACCTCCTTACCCATGAGACTCAACATTCATATGGTTGGTCTTATCTCTACTATTTAAGAGTTTATAAGAATTATTAGGAAAAAGATCAAAAGCCATAAGAATCTCTCACGATTACAGCTCAAATCCCCCAAAACCAAGAATGAACTCCAGCTACTTTAGACCAACGTGCAAAGTTCTGTCTTGTTTTAGTACTATATGTTCCAAGTGTTCACTGGCTTTCTCTACTGCAGTCCCTCTCTTCATGACTAATTAATATATATGAATCATAAGAATCTATGACTGGTCACAACTTTATATGACACAAAATCAGGAACTGGTTTAAAAAGATAGAGAAATTATGCAGAAAATGCCTGCTAGCTGCAGGCATAGGGGAAGGAGGAAGGGAGTTAAAACTTCACTGGCTGTTCTTTCACTGGTTTCAAGGAGCTGACAATAATCAGCAGCTTCAGTACATTCAAATCACACACAAACCTTCTCAGAAATTTGAATAGGTGGATCAGCAAGCCAGGGAAAGATCTAAGGTCATTACTACTCCCAGTCTCAATCTCCATTCAAAGTCCCTGCTGGAGCTTCTTTCTCACTGACAGTCTGACCACACAGCCTGCCATCTCAAAGCTACCCCTTTCCTCCGTCTCCAAAACCAAACTGAAACCACAGCTCAGTTGCTTAGATTTGGCATCCTTCCACTGCATCTTCTGATTCTACCCCCTCAAGGCAAGGGGCTGCTGGGAATACCTGGTTACCTAAGAATTAAAGTAAGTAGAGATATTCACACTAGAGAAGGGAAGACTTAGGAAGAACATAATAGTTGTATTTGAATGTATAAAAAAGGTTGTCATTAGAAAAGGATCTTTTTCCTCTTGGTTCCAGAGAGCAAAACTAGGAGCAATAATGGTAGAAGTGCAGAGAGGCAGATTTGGGTTCGGCAGAAGATCATCATAACAGAGCTGTCCCAAAGTAGCATGTGCTGCCTCAAAAGGTAGTGAGTTCCCCATCTCCAAAAGTCTTCAGGCAAAAACTGGGTGATCACTTGCAGAGATGCTGTAAAAGGGATTCTTGTTCAGAGTTCAGAGATTGTGTTAGATAACATCAAGTGAGTACAGCACTGGATTTGGAGTCAGGAAGACCTGAGTTTGAATTTTGCCTCATATCCCAGTGAAAATTTTCTTATGGAGCCACCTATAGTACTGAGAAACATGGTCACCCAAAAAAAAATCTCTTAGGTAAAATTTGTGTGTGTTGACCATGTTGCCCACGTCCACCCAGACACACACACCTAAATGCAGCTTGTGGGAAGCCATGGATAGATGTTTGCAGAGAGTCTGAAAACTCCATGTGTCTCTCACAGAATGAAAGAAGAATGTCTCTCCTCTCCAAAAATCTCATACCAACTTCATTCCCTTCACACGTGCATGCAGCATCAAGTCATCATTCTCTCTACCACTTAGGACAGTCATGTAAAATACTCCAGGCTTAAAAACTGGGTTACATTAATTATCTATCTATCTATCTATCTATCTATCTATCTATCTATCTATCTATCTCATCATCTATCTAACTTTATTGGGAGCCTGATTTGTTTTAAGATAATTCCAGTATTTTTCAGACCTGAACCTCTAAACTCTCTGAGCTAGGGATTGAGGAGATGGTGATGCAGATGGTGACAGGCTTAAAAACCATGGGGGAAAAGCTAAGGATATATGTGATACTTGTCCTAGAGAAGAAAAGACAATGAGGACATTTGAGATTTTTTTCACATTTAAGCAACTAGCAGATGGAAGAAAAGGCACATACGCATCATAGCTTTAAAGCCAAATGGGTCCTCAGAGGCCATTGAGTCCAACCAACGTCCTCATTTTACAGATGAGGAAACCAGGGCACAGAGATGTGAAATGACTTGCTTAGGGGTCACATGGTTGGAGATGAATGCAGATGTTCCTGATTCTGTGTCTAGTGCCCTGTCTGCTGTGACCTGCTGCCTCATGATTTTGCAACTTTTGGTTTTGATTATTTTGTTGTTCTCTCCACTCACATCGTTGTAGTCATCGTATGCTTTCATAGGATCATAGATTGAGAATTGGAGGGGACCTCAGAGGCCACCAAGTCCAACCCCTCATTTTACAAACGAGGAAACTGAGGCTAAGAGAAACTAAGCAACTTGCTCAGGGCCAGATAGCTAGCAGATGAAGCAGGATTTGAACTCAGGTCTTCCTGACTCCAAGCCCAGAACTCTAACCACTGCGCCACCTATCTAGGTGTTTCCTGGTTCTGCTTAATTCACTTCATATCAGTTCATATGACTTCTTCTATATTCTTCTGTATTCATTATGCTCATTGTTTCTTACAGCAAAGAAATATTCCATTGCATTTATGTACCATAATTTGTTTAGCCATTCAGCATCTTGAGAGTAGAACAAAGAATAATGGTCGGAAATTGCCCAGGTGCTAATCTGGCACAGTGCAAGAACTTTATAACAGTTCCTGCTATATAACAATGATATATACTGCTTCATCTCATGAGAAGAGGCTGGTTCAAAGGCTGTCAGGGAAATGATACTTGAAATGAATTAGACATTGGACTAGACAACCTCTAATGTCATGCCTGACTCTGTGATTCAAATCATTCTACTTGGTTTATGCAGGCACATAAGTACAGATGTGGTTCACTTATGATACACATATGTATATATACACATGTATATGTGTGTATGTACACATATGTATGTGTATACACACATATGTACGTATATATATGCACACATATATATTTGAAAAAATCCACCCATGTAAGAAACCCTTTTTGTTCCTTACAGAAGCTTGCTTCTCTGTCTATGATGTCCATAGGTAAGCCAGCCAGGTCTTTAGCAGTCCTGACACTTGTAGAGAGTTGAGAAGGTATTAGAAAACTGATTGCCTAAGATAGCAGCTCATAGATATTCTACCTGCTCTATACCACCTGAAGAACTGAGCAGTTAGACAGTGCTTTGACTGAAAGAATCTTCTGGAGCAACATCTCCCAAATTTTTCCAACCCTTTGGAGAAAGCCAAAGACACTGAGGATCATTTACAGTATTTCCTCTTCATCCAGTGTAAAGAAAGGGAGAGGAAGAGCATTTAGAGCACATTGTGGGTAGAGTGCTGGACTCAGGTTTAAATCTTAACTCAGGCTTAATAACTATGTGACCTGACAAAGAACTTAACCTCTTCCAGCCTCAGAGGGTAGGAGTTTTAGCTAGATCTTGAAGGAATCCAGGGAAGTCTGAAGGTCAAGATGAGGCTGGAGACAGTTCCAGGTATGAAGGACAGCCAGTGTAAATGCCTGGAATTGGGGGGTGGAGTGTTGTGAACAAGGAACTGCAAAGGGGTCAGTGTCACTGGTAGTGTAGTACCTGGGAGGAAAGGGTGGGGTGGGTAAAGTGTAAGAAGACTTTATTGCTGCCCTAATCCTAACAGCTTGATTTAAAAAAGATGTCATAAAAAAAACAAAAAAAGATGTCATATCAGCCCATTCATCGGTTCAGTACAGAAACAAGCTTCAGATGGAGGTTGTAGGACGTAGAATAAAAAACCTGACACAAAAAAATAATAAATCTTAAAAAACAATCCCGGCTGCCAGAAACAAGACAAGAAAATACCTCTGTCAATTCTTTTCGGGGGGAAGAGGGGTGGCTGGGGTTGTATGGAGTGATGCATGTTCTGTTAGGCTTGGATAGTGTATTGATTGGTTTTGATGAACTGCATTTTTCACTTTCTTTTTTGTCTTTAGTATAAGGGATAGTGGGGTAGCTGGGTGACTCATCTTTCTGAGTTCAGATCTGGCATCAGGCATTTACCAGCTGCACAACCCTGGGCAAGTCACTTAACCCTGTTTGCCTCAGTTTCCTCATCTATAAAATGACCTAGAGAAGGAAAAGGCAAATGACTCCAGTATCTCTGCTGAGAAAACCCAGAATGGGGTCATGGAGACTCGGCACAACTGAAAAACAACGACAACAAAAATAAGGGGTGGCTCCATGGATGGGGGAGGGGAAGGGAATATATGCTGAAATGAGAGGTAAATAACAAACATATCCATAAGGAGAACTGAGTTCCTTCTAGTTCTGGTTCTGCCATTAACTTACTGTATGGCATCAGGAAAGTCATCTTATCTCTCTAGAACTGTTTCCATCATTTAAGGTCAAATGAGGGGTTTGGATTAAATGATCTTTAAGGCCATCTCTGAGATTCTGTGAATTTTTTTTCTGTTATTCTAAGGGCCTCATTCCTCAAGACCTTAATCCTATAATGTCCTACAAAACTATCCCATACACCCCTATCCCATATACACATCCAAACAGGCGCCTGGGGTGGGGCTAGTGGGCAGGCCCACCATTCAGAAGAAACAATGGTTGTCAGGGGACTGTGTCACTTAGGAGGACTGAGCTTTGGCCAAGCTCAGAAGAGGCAAGTTCTGGTCCCATCCAGCTGGGTCCAGCCCCAAACCCTGCCCCAAAGGGGCTAAAAGTTTGTTCTATTAACCTTTGGAGAGAACTCTGAAACCTGAAGAAGCATCTGAGCCTTGTCTTCTCTGCACCCTGGAAGCAAGAAACAAGGAAGAAAATAATAACTTAGATGGGCCTGGAACTTCAACAGTGGTGAGGGGTTTGAAGTGGTTAGAACTTTATACTGATTTCTTTCAATCCCTTTGCTCCCTGCTTCCTCCACAATTCCAGAGTTTCGAGAAAGGGGGGATATCCATGGGGGGCTCTGCTAACAGATTCAAGTTTTCAACTGAAAGTTGAAAAGAGATGTAAAAGAAAAAGGTGGGGCAGGGTTCTAAAGATAGGGGGGAGAAGCGTAAGTTCAGGGAGGAGAAGGGGGAATATTTAGATAGCAATAGGCATGGCAGGCAAAGTGTTCCTTATTGTCATCCCCACCCACATTCCACACCCATCCACATGGCTTATGTCTCATCTACTTCTTGTAGGCAGCCTGCTTAGAGGAAAGCCATTTTTTGGCCTCATTTCTTACCTAGACTTAATCACTGAATGGGCATTTGCCTCAGACAAACTGAGACCTGGGAAAGACCTTAGCCTAAAAAGGCCAAGGTTAAATCCAACCTCAGACACTTAACACTTACTAGCTATGTGATCCCTGGCAAGTCACTTAACCTAGATTGCCTCACAAAAAAAAAAAAAGGCCAAGGTCTCTCACTGCATCAGGGACCATCTCCAGTCGTCCTGATCTGTATCTTGCCACTGGACCCAGATGGCTCCAGAGGAGAGAGTGAGGCTGATAACTTTGCACAGCTCTGCCTCACTTAAATCCAATTCACTTGCAAGTCAAGATATCACCTCCCTGCTGTCATTGGTCCTCTTTGAGAATGAGGGACAAACAACAACAGTTAGAGGAAAGCATGCTTCCTTGAATTAGCAAACCACCCGGGAAGGATAGAGTCATACCTGGCAGTCTCCGTTCGTTATTCTAGGACTGTCTTGGTTCAGATTGGTAAAGAACTAAAGGCTCAAGGGAAGAAAAAATACAAAAGGTCATTCAGTAAACATTAAGCACCTATTATGTTCCAGACACTGTGCTAAGTGCTGGGGATACAAGGAAAGGCAAAAGACAGCTCCTGCTGTCAAGGAGCTCAGTCCAGTGGGGGACATGACATACAAACAACTGTGACAAACGATCTATACACAGGGTAAATTGGAAATAATCAACAAGGGGGAGGCATTAATTAAAGGGGAAGGAGGAAAGGTTCCCTGTGCCTAGAACAAAGAAAAAGGAAAAGGAAAGTTTCCAAGGGAGATATGGACAGCTCGAGGCTTATGTGGAAATAAAGTCTTTCCAATTTTAAATTCTGAAACTTAGCTGCTCCTCATAAAACCATGGCATATCAAAACCCAAAGGGATTATGCATTATCTGATCTATCCTTTCATGTAACTAATGAGGAAAAGAAAATAAATAGTTTGCTCAATGTGCTATAACTAGCTAGTTTGGGAGCCAGGACTAGAAATCAGTTCTACAGAATTCCATCTTTGTGCTTTTAAAATTACACGATGAATTTTTCAGCTTGTTCTCACCCTCCCTACAGAGCTGTACCTCAACCTGAGCACCATGTATCTTTCTACTCAGCTCTGTGTCCTAGTGCTAACTGGCTCAGTGCTTCTCAGTGTCTTCAACAGTTTGGAAGCTACTATCATTGTTGATGAAGACCAAGTCCTGGTAAGTGACAGAACCAAGTGGCAATAACCTCTGAGACAAAATCAACCAATCAAAAAGCACCTTGATTAAGCAGCTACTGTGTGCCAATTACTATGCTAGTCCCTGGGGATACAAGTCGAAAATGATCAAGTGTTATATAATAGGGGGCATAATCTATCCATGTCGTGAAGGAAAGAAGAACTGGTGAGAACTTAAGAGTAATGAGGGAAGGGTTAAGAGAAAAGAATGAGGAATGTGAGCTTTGCACAATGAATAGGATCTGAATAGGCAGAAAAGACAGAGAAAGTCATTCCAGGTGAGGAAAATAACATGAGACTTAAGGCACAGAAGACTCACATAATATATAAATTTAATAGGTTCCCAAAGTGGGCAACACTGCCTTTTGAGATTGCTGGAACGTTTCAAGGGGGCAGTAGTAGCCTCAGGTGCAATTGGGGGGCGTTGAATAAAAATAAGGGGGTGGTGGAAGCATAAGGAAAGAAGAGAAGAAAATTTTTAAAAACCATTTGTATGTGTTTCATCTGTTGTGTAACAGAGTTAAAGTTGTAATGATTACGTTATTTTCCAAACAAACACAAAATGCAAGTTATAACACTAGCTGCCCCAACCCATCTTAACAAGCAAGTGTTGGCAGGTGAGAGTATAGTGTATTGTTGGGAAGTCCAGCATGCATCGGCAGGAATATGTGCACGTAATGACTTGTTTACAATATGTTACTATACAGTTACATGATGCAATGTTGTGTCATCAAAATTTCAATGCAGGGCAGCTAGGTGGCATAGTGGATAGAGTGCCAGCCCTGATGTCAGGAGGACCTGAATTCAAATCTGTCCTCAAACCAAATACTTGATACTGACTCGCTGTGTGACCCTGAGCAAGTCACTTAATCCCCATTGCCTAAAAAAAAAAATTCAATGCAGAAAAAAGCCACAAATCTACAATAAATTATTAAATTTAAGATGCATTCTAATGCAAATTGAAAAAACATAAAAGGGTTAAAGAAAGTATATTTCCAGGGGGTTGCTGATAATTTTTTTAAAGGGGGTAGTAGGCCAAATAAGTTTGGGAACCTCTGATATATATAAAGCCTTTACTAGTAATCTTGGTTCTCAGGGCAAGTAATAAGAAACAAGCAACATGAATTGTGCCTGGAGCAAACAAAAAAGAATCAAGTTTGTAATTTGTATCAAAATAATATGAGAAGTAATTAAGACAAAATCATCTGAGTGGAAGGAATTAGTTACCGCAATGGTTACTACACAGCTGGAACACATGGGTAAAATTTTGGAAACCTTTAAATATTGGCCTTCTGGGACAAAACCCCACTTTTCCTGCCCCGCTGTTAGCTCTGTGGATCTGTCTTGAAAATGAAACCAGTGCGAGTTACAACATCACCATCATCTTCAACAAATACTTATTTGGCACTGATTGTGTGTTAGGCAATTTAAGAAATACCGGGAATTACTTTGTATTAATTGTGTGGGCCCAGATTTTGAAAAGCTAAGTAGGGGAATTTATACTGGGTTCATTAGATTGTAAACTCCATGAAGTTGGGGACTACGTCTTCAAATTTCTTCTGTATCCTTTGTGGTGCCTAGCACAGTTCTAAACACATAATAGGTGCATACAATATATTAGTTGATTGCTCGGTCTCCACATGGAATCAGTGGAGGCTCTATGGAAGGGATCCCATCCTGCCTCTTCTAGCTAGAGTTTGGGAGGTATTCCTGAAAAGCTGATGCTTATCCTATTCCCAGGAAGCAAAGAAGAACTTGACTTGGCTGATAGACCAGGAGCAGGTCACATCTGGGGAAAAGAACCTCGTGAGAAATTTTAAGGAATGGCAGAACAGCTCCGACCTCTTCCATAATGTCTCCTACCAACACCTGCCTGTAATCCTGTCCCAAAAGAAGAGTGAGTTGCTGGGAGGGGAACTTGTGGAAAAGTTAAGCTCTCTTAGGAGGGGGAAAAGTATGATAGTTGGGTGGGAAGGTGATTAGGAAGGAAGAAGGAGGAGGAATACAGGGGAGAGGGGGAAAAAAGAAGGGAATGAAAGGAAGGGCTGTGTCTAAGGAATTGCGAACATAGACAATTGTAATTCCATGGCCATTATGGCCTAGCTTCCACCTTGACTAAAATCATTTCCCTCCTTAAAAAAAGTCCATTAATCACATTTTCAGCAGGGTCCCAAAGAAAGAGAAGAGAGGAGGAAATGATGGGTTAGGAGGAGAGAAGGAAGGGAAACTGTGAGGAATAAAGGTGAGTAAAGGGGAATAAATGGGCTTCTTGGGAATGCTTGACACTATGTTCTCTAGGCTTTCAGAACCTTTGAGCCAACATGGAACTCAGGAGATCATATACTCCAAAAGTTATCAGTCTATAGCCCTAAAATAATGCTGACTAGCCAAGCCAGGGCAGCCTCTAGAACAAATGGTGAAGGATGCCAGGTTTGTACAGTGACAGAATCATGGATTTGGGACCAGAAGAGACTTTAGAGATCACCTAGTCTGATGCCCCTTCACTTTGCAAATTGGGAAACTGAGTCTTGTTGAGATGAAGGGCTAAGCCACCCAAAGTCACTCAGGCAAGTAAGTGGAAGAGCTGGTATTCAAATCAGGTCCTCTCACACCAGATCCATCACTTGTTTCCCCCACTGCATTCTCTTACTTCCTCTAATTCTCCCCCCTTTGCTACCCTAAAGCCATTCCAAAGGGGACAAAGGGCTCACAGAAAAGAAGGAACTTGAGCTGAGCTGAAAGATCAGATTTAGATTGGAGGGAGGAAGGCATTCCAAGGAGGCTAATTCTTTGAGTGAAGGTGAAAAAGGTGATATATATGCATGGGACAGCTTGGCTAGAACAGAAGGTTCAAGAGTGGGAGAAGGAGGATATAAGTCTAGAAAAACAAGTCTGGTTCTAGATCGTGAAGGGCCTTGAATGTCAGGCTAAGGGGTTTAGACTTTAACCTTTAGGCATTAGGGAGCCATTAATATTTTACAGCAGGGGAATGATGTGATCAGAGCCATTCATTAGGGTAATTTGGAACCACTAGAGGGAAAGAGTAGAAATACTAGAGGAATTGGCAGAGGGAATCTAGAGGAAAGGAGATCAACTATGAGCTTATGGTCTGAAGTTTGTAGGAAAGACTTCTTGAAAAGGAAGTAGGAGAGGGCCTGGCATAGTGGGAGGAATATTGGGTTAGAATTCAAGAGTTCTAGGTTACAGTACAGCCTCTGCCAATTATTGAAAATGTAACTATGGGCAAGTCACTTCCTTTTTTTTATATCTCATTTTCTAAATCAATAAAATGAAAGATTTGGACAAGATGAATACTACGGCCCCTTCTGCCTTGTATGTCTCTGAACATTGGGTGTAACTAGAAAGATGACCTTGGGCAAGTCATTTATGTCTTTCTCTTCATCTATAACATGAAAAGAGTTGGAACAGGTGATTTCTAAGCTCATATCTAGCCTTAAAGTCCTGTGATTCCCCCAAAATGAAAATTTGCACTTAACCTCTGAATAAGTTACCAACCCCTAATCTAGGCTATCTAGTCTGCACAGGGAAATAGGAAAGATGCAATGAAAAAAGGAAAGACACGAAATAGGGGCAGTAGGGAAGGGCTAAGGAATGTCCCAACCCCATCTCATTCAGGTTGCCTTCTCCACTCCCTCATGTTCTAACTACCTCCCAAACTTCCTCCCCAGAGCCATTGCCTACAGGACTGTCCTCCAAGCAGGGGATATGCCTCGTGAGTAATCTGCAGTCTGTGTTCAGTGCTTCCTCCAAGGCTGAACTGAGGTACTTCACGGCCTTGGTCCACCTCTCTGATCCTGACCCTAACTTACTCAGACAGATGAGCATCAGCGTGAGCAGAATCTTTGCTCCGCAAATCCTCCAAGGACGGCTGCTGGTGATCCACACATTTCTTGCTGCTTATCTCTCCGCGGGGAACCTGAGCAACAACGTTGGTGTGCCCTTCCTCGTCCCTATCCTGTTTAAATAGATTGCAGGCTATGCCTTCCTTATGGACTTTGCTGCCAACCTCTCTGATTACTTTCTGATGATGGAGCACGATATCCACTGATCTCCCAACTTTATCTCTGCCACACAAGTGGCAGTGATCTGATGATCTGGTCATCTGGAGGAATAGGCCCTGGGTGATAATGGAATTTGCTAAGCGGGGCTTCACAAGCAAGCTCTGCCTCTCCAGTGACTTTCCGCATCTAGCCTCTTTCTTCCTCTACTATCAGAGAGTGCCCCCTGAGAAGCTCTTCTCTAGCTTCTACAAGATGCTAGCCCAGGAAAAAACCATCCAGTTTAGGCCTTCACTCTCCCAGGCCATGGACTTCTCCATTCAGGAAGATCCCCTTTCATGAAGTCAGTGCCTTAAAACCAGAGGACAATTTCCAAGAAAAGGATTTTGGAAAACCTAACAACCCACCCGCATTCATCTACACTGACATGCAGACTTTTAAAGGCTATCTACCTGAGAAAGGCTACAGCCTGGGAGATTTCTTCTGGGTCCTGAAGCCTATGGTAGGCAACCACACTTGACTGTGATTTTTGGAGGAGCCAGTTAAGATAAGACAAGTTTTGACAGGCCCAGAAGAGGAGCTAGTGTTCCTACTTGGGGAAAAGATAGAGCTGAGCTATATAATCCCAGTGAAATGTCAAAGACATGCCAAAGAAAATGGGAAATTTGATCATAAAATGTCCAAAGAAATGGAGAACAGGGTGGAACAGCCTGAGGCTAGTGGTGACAACCACCTGGATGACTGGATTGTGTTCAAACATACAAAGATCTGGACAGCCTGAGGAACAGTGGGAGATGGAGGGTATAATGAAGAGACAAAGAAGGGCCCAGTCTGCAGACTGAAATGACAGAGGTGACAGAAAATTAAAACACTGAAAAACAGCCAGGGGCATTTTTTTGAGAGTAATGATAATAATCATAACATTAACAATAACAACATGGGGCAGCTAGGTGGTGCAGTGGATAGAGCTCCATCCAGCCTTGAAGTCAGGAGGACCTGAGTTCAAATCCGGTCTCAGACACACAACACGTACAAGCTGTGTGACCCTGGGCAAGTCACTTAACCCCAATTGCCCAGCAAAATACAAAACAAAACAAAAAAACAATAACAACAATAATAGTTAACATTTATACCATACTTTAAGGTTTACAAAGCACTTCACTTAAATCTCTCATTTGAATGGACAATACAAGCTGATAAGGGACAGAGACTCCTTTCCACCCTTGGAGGGGCCCACATGGCAGTAAGGAGATCCACCCCCTCACTTTTTCCTTCAAAACTATCCACCCTCCTAAACTGCCTTCCCCAGCTCAGCATGAGCAAATGACCCTAAAAACTCCAGGATATTTCTCTATCTCTCTATCTATCTATCCCTGAAGCCAAGTGAATTTAGGGATAGAATTACCTTCCACCCATACTGCCAAGAATGTATTTAGTTATGAGAGACATTGAGGGATCTAGATATCTTAGAAGTTGATATTTGTCAACATTGTTATAACAATTGTTATACAATAGTAATAAAAAAAAAGTTTAATGCCAATAAAGTAATTTCATTAGTTGAACTCTCCCAGGGCTCCCTGTGGGGTAGAAGCAGCAGACCGGCAACCTAACCACATGGCATTTGGCTGTGGTAGCTAGTAGGGGGCAACTTGGGGGCAGCTAGGTGGTAGAGTGGATAGAGCCGGGCCTGAAAAACGACTGAACAACAACAAAAAGGGGGCAACCCACATAATAGAGCCTTGATTAGAGAAAATGGACAGCTTTGGACCTGATGCCTTTAGCAGTCATCTCTTGTCATTTATCTCTTCCACATAACCCTCCCCCATCCCATCCCCATCCAAAGCAAGCTGAGCTATGATGTGAGCATGCTAAGCCCTGTGTTTCCCAAGGAGACCCACCATGGGGGGAATCTCAATAAACTCTGATGACTTCTGGAAGGCCAATGAGAGTCCCTTTCTTCCAAAAGAGCTCAGGGTGTCTTCTTTGTATTGGAATATTGACCCTTGCACTATCTTTATGTGTAGGAAAAATCAAAGATTATTTTTCCTCATTCCATCTAGGAAACCTGAAATTCAAAGAAACTTGGTAACTTACCCCAAGTCATAGCAGAGCAGTGGGAGAGGAAATCTGGATCCCAGATGTCCTGAATCCAAGCATGGGATTTCTTATTAACTATATTTCAATTCCAGTTTTCCATGGACAACCACACGTGACTCCTTCCCCTTCTGGGAATTCTCTAGGTGGGGAGGGGTTCTCAGTATAGGGAATGCCATCTCTGGCCTTCCATTCTTGAGCAACCAGCTGAGATGTCATAACGCCATTGAGCTTTGAATAGGGAGAGGGAACTGAAGTCCTGAGCCTTGGGAATCTCAGGCCGAGAAATGAGGTTTACTAATGTTTGAGATTTGGGCAGAATAAGACTTATGACCAGAATGAAGGTAATAAAAGGGGACCTGTTCAAAAGAAAAAGATTAGATTGAAGGGCCAACAAGATCACATTGTACATGAAGAAATGTATGAAGTGACCCAAAGTGAACAGAACCGAAAGAACACTGTGCACCATAACAACAATGTAAATGAAAATGTCACTCTCAGAGCCAATAATGGGCCTAGGGATCCGGTAATGAAGCACAGCTCTGTCTTCACAGAGTAGAGGGAAACGATCAAGGAAGAACGCTTTTTAAATGCTTAGATACAATCACATTGTCTTGAGTGTTTTTGAGGCAGGAGTAGAATTCAAATACAACTCTCTTTTGGTTCTCTTCCTACGTGTGTGGCCACAGTGCCCAGGCTTCTATCCTAGGCCCTTCTCTCTCCTTTCTCCCTTGGTAACCTCATCATCTCCAATGGTTTCAACTATCATATCTATGCAGATGACTCTCAAATTCTATATATCTGGCCTGAATCTCCCTCCAGCTCTAGTTGGCAGATCTAATTTATTGTTGGACATTTCAAACTGGATATCACACAGACATCTCAAACTCAACATATTCAGAACCTTACTCATGATCTTTTCCTACAAAACTCATCCTTTTTCAAAAACTAATTGTGTTTGTGAATATAACCCTAGCCTCTCTCCTGTGCCCTAGTCCCCATTAACAACAAAGCATGTACAATTAGAATCTCACATTCATCGGGATGACTGAACTCATTCTCTTTTCCTCCCATATCCACCCTTCTTTCTAACTTCCCTTTACCTGTGGAGTGCATCACTGTTGCGGTGTAAGAGGTTGAGAGGTTGTGACCCCTCAAAGACTGGAGTACAGGACAGGTCATCTGGAATGAATTCACAGACTCAAGCATTCTTTAAGCCAAGGTGGCAAAGTTTATTGTTACGCTTTCCAGTGGGCAGGGATTCTTAAAGGATCCTGCGAGAGACTGAGAATGCAGCTAGGGTTTATATGGAAAAGAGCATGGGAAAGAAATGCCAGGAACACTAATGAGGTAATCTAAAGGTGCAGGTGTCTTTGGGGGCTATGGATGGGAAAGTACAGGGAGTATACCGGACAGGGAGGGAGATGACAGAGGTATGGATCTTTGGAGTCTGGCAGGAGGAAGAGTCCTTGGGCTGGCCAAAGGCAAAACTCCTTGGGCTGGGCAAGGCACCCCTCTCTCTCTGTCTTGATGAGAGAAGGTTCTGCAACAAGGGAAAGCTTTCTCACAAGACAGGAACTACTAAGGAATTGGGAGGCTTCCAGAGACATGATCTGAGGGCTGGGGCCTGAGCAGCCCAGCTCTGTGTAGCTGTACCAGGGAGAGAGATAAGGGTCGTGCTGAGGCCCCATGAATGAATAACTGCTAGGCACAGTGTCCTTGGGCTGGGGAGAAACTGTCAGGGATAGTGTTTCTGAGGCTAGGGAGAAATTGGGGTACAAGTACAAGCACAAGCACCCAAACACAGGCACCCCATCATCACCATCCTTTCAGTCACTAGGTTAGCAACTGTAGAGTCATCCTCAACTCCTCACCTTCACTGAGCCATCATATCCATTCAGCTACCATGTCTTGCCAACTTTACCACCATGAAACCTTTCATATCTGTCCTCTTTTCTCGCCTCACATGTCCACCATTATAGTTCATTTTCATTACTTCTCATCTGGAAGTAGTACAGACAGTTCTTACTTTACATAAATTTAACTTTATGTAAAGAATTCTAAAAGAAATCCACATTCCAAGAAGAATCTATGTTAATTTTACCATACAGTACTGTGCTTTCTCTCTGTTTCTGTCTCTGTCTCTCTCTCTCTGTCTCTCTCTCTTTCTCTCCTCCATTCCTGCCCCTTGGTTTGGCCTTCCTCCATTCCCCACATTGAGGGCAAATTCAAGTTACAAAAAACTCAATTTACATAGAGGTCTGAAGAATGGTTCCCTTAAATAAAGTGAGAACTGTCTGTAGTCTCTCAATTGCTCTTCCTGCTTCAAGTCTCTCCCCTCTCCAATCCATTCTCCATATAGCTGCTAAAATGACATTCCTAAAGTGCATGTCTGACCATGTCCCTCCCCCACTCACAAAATGCCAGTGGCCCCCTGTATTATCTCTAGGATAAAATTCAAACTCCTTGGTTTGACATTTAAAATCCTTCACAATCTGACTTTAGCTAAGTTTTTGAGACATTTCACATTATTCCCTCTCATGAATTCTACATTCTAGTCAACTTGCTTTTCCTCATATCCAGCATTCCTTCTCTCATCTCTGTCCTTTGCACTGCTGTCCTCTAGGTTTGGAATATACTTCCTTCTCACCTCTGCCTCTTAGAGTTCCTAGTTTTTTTCAGAGCTCAACTTAGGCTCCACTTCATCACTGGAAAATCCTCATACAAGGCCCTTCTATATTCCTCCCTGCTCCTCGCTCCTCGCCCCAGCTCTTGGTGCCTCTCAGCCCACTCCATGAAATTGTAAATATTTACTTATAAGGGATTCAAGCAATGGCTGGACCAGGGGTGGGGAACCTGCAGCTATTTTTCTATAAAATTTGGATTCAGTCAAAAGGTCATACTTAAAGATCTAGAAAGCCACATGTGGCCTCAAGGCTGCAAGTTCCCCACTCCTGGTGCTGGACAACCATCTGTCAGGAAAGTTAAAATGAATTATTTTGGGGTATGGATTGTACTCTGGCTGCTGAAGTGCCTTCAATTCTAAAATTCTATAATTCTATGAGCCAGATGGTACTACTATTGTTTGGGAGCAGGGGAGGGAAATGTTCAGAATTGGTTGATCTAAAAAATATTGAACAAATGTTATTAGAATTCTGTAAACTTTGACCTCTGGGATACTATGACCTTTACCACCGGCATGCTTAAGAAAGGAAGTGCTAAGAGGCAGCTAGGTGGCACAATGGATAGAGCACTGGCCCTGGAGTCAGAAATCTGGCCTTAGACCAGACACTTGACACTTGCAGACTGTGTAACCCTGAGCAAGTCAATTAATCCCAATTGCCTAAGGCGGGGGTGGGGGTGGGGGGAAGAGGTGCTGTCCAATGCAATGATCCAAGACAATTATGATGAAAAAAATGCTTTCCATCCCTAGAGGAAGAATTGATGGTGTCTGGATACAGATCGAAGCATGCTTCTTTTTGCTTTATTTTTCTTGAGGGGTTGTTTTTTTGTTGTTGTTTTGTTTTCTTTTGGTGCATGTTTTCTTTCACAACGTGACTGTTACAGAAATGTGTCTTGCATGACTACTCATGAGTCACCTATATCAAATTACTTACCTTCTCAATTAGGGAGACTTGGGAAGGGGAGGGAGAGAATTTGGAACTCAGAATTTTTAAAATAAATGTTAAAAATTGTTTTTACATGTAACTGGGGAAAAATAAAATACTAAACAAGGAAAAGAAGAGAAAAGAGATGCTGTCAAGGCCACAGCTATAGTGCTGACC